TCCATGGGCGAAGTATTAGGGCGTCATCTTCATTATGGCCTTTCAATAATCGATAAGCACATCGATACACCAGTTCCAAAGTGTAATAAGTCAAAAATCATTAGTTATGAGAAAACAGAGAAAATCTATTCTTATGTTTGTGTCAGGTAATTTTATTATTTTGTTAATATAATAATTCCCAATATGCTCTTGGGATCGATCCAGAATTGCACAAGGAAATCAGGTCTTTTTTCTTTAATGACGAAATACCTGGTGGATAGCTATAAGCAGGGTTTAGCTGTCCTCTTGTTCTCCGATCAACATCTATACTTTTGAATTCTTTCTCACAAAAAGATTTTTGATTAATGGTTTAATATGAGTGTTTATTACAAGGTAGGAGTAAAGAGTCTGCTAGGGTCACCAATGAGGAAGTGCTGAGAAGGATGGGTTGACACAAAAAATTGGGAGAACAATAAAAGTACGCAAGACTGCATACCTTGGACACATACTGAGTAATGATAAATATAGTCTTCTACAGGTCACCATGCAGGGTAGAGTCGATGGCAAAAAGGAAATAGGTAGAAAGAGGAAGTCATGGCTGCGAAATATTAGAGACTGGACAAACATGACTGTAGACGAATTATTCCACGTTGTAAAAGACCAACCTCCGTTAATGGGGACGGCATAGGAAGAAGAAGAATTTCGTTATTGTCTTCATCGTTCTAATTAGTTTTAAGAATATTTTTAGGCAATATTAAATGCGATAGAATCAATTTTTAAGCCGGTACAGAACACATTTATTAAAACACCTTAACGAAAACTTAAACTATAAAGTAAATCATTTATATTACTTCATTAACGGAAAAACTGGAGCGTATTCGCTTGTATTTCCTAACTGTTGCTTTGGTGCTACGTATGGTAGTACAGCTGGACTATCCTGCTTGGAACCCTACCAACTCATCGATTGCTGAGCGTGTATTTTTAATGGCACGATGTCAAAAGCGTGTTTGGTATAATAACTAAATATAGAAATAGACACGGGATAAATATAAAAAATTATGGTTTTGTAAATTAATACATTAATAATAGTCTTATACAGTTACTACTAATCATAAACCGAAACATTTTCTTTACGTACGCGCTGGATGTGAATATTTCAGCGATAATAATTTTGCATTTACTACATTACAGTTTCATACTGTTTTATTATTTTCGATGGTCAGTAACATATTTTTGATATTTGACAACGTTCCGAGGAACTATTTGGTACTTAATTAGTAATGTGTCCGCAGCTCTTTTTGAAAGACCATTACGTTTTTTGTAACTTTATTATACATATTTATATTCATTGCTATTGCTATTTATTATATTTTTCACAAAAATGGAAATAAAATTGTTTTTAAATATGTAAATTTACCTTGAGCATAATTGTATTTAATCTGAAACAGTACATAACTACGGATTCTAAATAAAGGAATCTTTATTTTTTAAGTGAGTTTGTTTTATTAAATTACCTTTCCTATCAATGTGTGGGGTCCTACAGCAGATCACGAATTTCAGTAATCCAGTCAACAAGAATGTTTTGTATATTATAATTATATTCCATCAGGTCTCTCGATCGTCCAAAAGAAACAGCATGACACTTAGATGCTTTCAGGGCCAGGCCATTCAACACTCAACCGATCGAGGTCGTGTTGAAGATTAACACAATCTTCTGTATTATTGATAATTGTGTAGAACTTTGGATCGTCCGTAAAAAGAAGAAGTGAACTGTACTGGAAGCAGTGGTGTATATCATTGATGAATATGTTAAATAACAGGGGTCCCAATGAGAACCCTGGGGTACTCCTGAATGAACCTTATTCTCACTGTAACCAAATTCCCTGATACGCACCATCTGAACTCGGTCAATTAAGTAAGTTCTCAGCCATCTAAGAAGTGGTACATCAACACTAATTTTTTTAAATAGGTAAAGAAATAATAAATAAGACTTACTCACAATCAATTTAATTTAACTATCAGACGACCGGTTTCGCTTTCTACAATATGCAAAGCATCTTCAGGTCTCAATACAAAGTTAAACAAATGATGCCGGTACTCTATTAATAGATGGATGGTAGAACATGTTTGAAACTACTTTATATTGTTGAATGGAGAACTCAATACTATTATTGCAGTTGTTTGACAGTAAACGGGAAGTTCTTGAGGAGATAGATTTGATCCAATGAGTTTGAGATATGTGTGAGATTGTTTGTTAAATGTAAGTGATGTAATATACTATTGTGTTATTAAAAGTTATTTATACTTATTCCAGAGATATATTTTTGAACTGTGTGGTATTTATTGAGTAATTGTTTTATGAAGGTGACATTTTATGACAATGAATAAGTGTAGATGTGAAAATTGTGTGGGTGTGCAATTATTTTCAAACTTGTAGTTATCAAATTACTTTGATAAAGTTCTATTGGCAATGAGTTAATTATTGGAATAGTCAAGTGAATAAAATGGTAAAATACAAACACTTAAGGATAATTTAAACACACTAAAACAGAAAACACTTAGAAGGGACGAAACAAACATTGAATTCAAAAGGGGGAAGGACTTTAATGCACTACATCATAGTCTTGGGCACAATGGGCACTATGATGTAGTGCATTAAAGTCCTTCCCCCTTTTAAATTTAATGTTTGTTTCGTCCCTTCTAAGTGTTTTCTGTTTTAGTGTGTTTAAATTATCCTTAAGTGTTTGTATTTTACCATTTTATTCACTTGACTATTCCAATAATTAACTCATTGCCAATATAACTTTATCAAAGTAATTTGATTACTACAAGTTTGAAAATAATTGCACACCCACACAATTTTTACATCTACACTTATTATTTGTCATAAAATGTTATTTAATGAATTAATTATTCGCATTCAGTTCTGATGATTTTAAAAAATATATTAGATATAGTTAAGTTGAAACTAGTCAAATTAGTAAGACCAAGTGAAGGTGAATCACTGGTTATGTTCTATCATCATCATCATCAGTGGCTCTACAGCCCTTTTTGGGTCTTGGCCTGTTCAAGGATTTTTCTCCATTCTGACCTGTTTCGTGCTTTTTTTTCCAGTTTTTAATTTTTAATGTTGTTATATCATTTTCTATTTGTTCTACGTATCTCAGCTTTGGTCTTCCTCTTGTTCTTTTTCCTACTGGCACTTGTTTGAATATTTTGTTTGGTATTTCGCCTTCTTCCATTCTTTCCACATGTCCAATCCAACGTAGCCTTCCTATTTTAATGAATGTTATGATATCCGGATCCTGGTATATGTTGTATAGTTCAAAGTTATACCTTCTCCGCCATATCCCGTTTTCTTTTGTGCCCTTATATATGTGTCGCAAGATTTTTCTTTCAAAGGTGGCTAATAACGTTTCCTCCCTTTTAGAGAGTGTCCAGGTTTCTGAACCGTATGTGAGTACCGGTTTTATTAAGGTTTTGTATATTTGGCATTTTGTTTTTCTGGAGACGTTATCTGATCTTAGTTGCCTAATTAAGCCATGGTAACATTTATTGGCAATAAATATTCTCCTCTTCACTTCCTCTGCAACGTTGTTATCAGACGTAACTAGGGATCCTAAGTATGTAAAGTTTTTTACCGCCTCAATGTTGTATTCTCCTATTGTTAAATTTGGCAGCTGCCTTATTTGTGCGTTTTTATTTGCAGGCATATATTTTGTTTTTGTCTGATTGATTTTAAGACCACTATTTTTTGCAGCTCGTTCTATTTGAGTGAATGCCTCTATCATTTCTCTTCTTGATCTTGCGATTATGTCAACATCATCTGCAAATGCTAGTACTTGCACGCTTTTATTAATTATTGTTCCTCGGGTATTAACTGTTGTGTCTCTTATTATTTTTTCAAGTATGTTGTTGAATAATATGCATGATAGAGCGTCTCCCTGGCGTAGTCCCTTCTTCACATCTATTGTTTCCGTTAATTCGTTTTGTATCCGAATTTTACTTTCTACTTTTAGTGTTTCTTTTATCAATTCTATTAGCTGTGTTGGTATATTAAATTCTTTCATTGCTTTTGTTAGGAATTCTCGGTTTATATTGTCATATGCGCTTTCGAAGTCTATGAAGAGATGCTGTGTGTCGATGTTATATTCACTTGTTTTTTCAAGGATCTGTCGCAGAACAAATATCTGGTCTATTGTTGACTTCTGTCTGCAGAAGCCACATTGGTATTTGCCAACTATTTTTTCAGCGTATGGTCTAAGTCTTTCATACATTACGTTGGACATTATTTTGTATGCCGCATTCAACAGCGTGATTCCACGGTTATGTTCTATATTTGAGTTGAATAGAGTGTAGAAAAATATTCTGCAAAAAGATTTACAATATCTGGTCCGTGACTGGATTCAACACCACCATAACTCAACACAGCGGACAAGGAAGACTTTCCCCTCTCTGAATTCACAAACGTCCAAAATCCCTTCAAATTATTTCCTAATGATAATTCTGTTAAATATAATTTCTGTAGCCTTCAGCTTTTAATAATTTGATTAGAAAAAGTGCGATAATCCAGAAGTCGTTTAACCAAGAAGAAAAAGAACCAATAAGGGAATATAGGTTTTGAATACCTTTTTAGAGGCATAAATATTTCCATATTTAAGTAAACTATATAAGAACTCATCTCATAACTCAAGGAAAAAATTCTCTGAATTCGCATTTGCTTATATTGTGTTTCTATACTAATTTCTTTTTTATCTATTAAGTAGCTACTCCATTTTGTGGATATCATTTATTTAATAAAATTTAATAAAATGTAAAATCGCTGTATTTAATAAAAAAACAATTTAAATGTTGAGGTGTAATAAAGAATAAAAATAAATAACATGGTTTTTAATAATATATTTTTCCAAAATTTATATGTACATTACGGTATTGGCACTGTTTGAAAAATATATATTTATAAATATCTATGTACATAAATTATTAATTCAATAAAAAACAAAATAATACTCATAACAGTTTTAAACAAATACATCAAGTTTTAAGTTGACTGAAGTAATTTTATTGGCTTCCAATACTAAATTATAATAAAAAATTTTGATAATATTTCATTCATAATACTGTTTCCTTGGAAAAATAAAAAAATGCATTAAATATGTCATTAAGTTAAATTTGTGATATGTTGAAATTAATTTGTTAACGATTGTAGGTACTAAGAATAGTATTCAAAGATACATGGTTTATAGTGCAAACAATACGCGTAGCTTTAGAGCTTGCACAGTGACGTATGTGCATCAAACCTTTCTGAAAACAGCTCTAAACATTGCAGATACAATTAATTGATTTTGTACAGTCAATCTTGTCGATATAGCTAAATAGTAAGAACTTAAAAACATAAAACGTTAGGTCATGTCAAGGTTTATTGAACAAAAACTATAGAAAATACATCCACATTCAGTGGAATGATAATGAGACTACACAATTAACTAAATCAAAGTTATGTTGGGAGGTTTAGAGGCAAACCGAGGAGAAGATGGAAGAACTGTGTAGCAGAGAACTTGAGAGAAAAAAGTTTAGGTGAAGAAGACCCGATTGGCAGAAATGAGTGGCGACGAAGAGTACGGAACAGCGACCTCTGAGAAGGGAAAAGCTGAGAAATAAAAAGATAAACAAAACAAAGGACTCAGGGTGAAGTGCTTATCAGCTGCCCTGGAAGATCGACCAACTCCTTCATGCTAGGACACTTTAAAACATGTTCTAAATGTGCTCTTCCTTTCTCAAGACAGACTTCATACCAATATTCCAGATTTCTCGTAATGTCACGGAATAAAGGTTGTCTGGAGTCCGCGAAGAAGGCTCTAACGGCATCATTTAATTCAGTAAAGACTTAGATCAGTAGATATGTATAGAAACTTCTTGAACTTCATCTGGTCTGGCAAAGCCCAGAAATCGATTTGGGCGACCATTTACATGGCCTGACAAATGAAAATATGCTTCTGAAAAATATTCTATGCATCTGAAAACCATACATTTTTCAAAAATTTAGGATTTTCATACTGTAATGTAAGAATTCTGGCACAATATTCCACTCTACTGTGATAATCCCTGGGATGTAATTGTTAATGTACCTGAATCACATAAGAAAATGCACCCAGCTCCTTCAGGATTCTTTGCAAGAAAGTTCGTTTTAAGCCAAGATGCAACGCCATTCTTGTCTGGCTGGCTTTCGGATTTTCCAAGATTCGCTCAAAAACACGTTCATGGTTGTCGTTGTTGTTAACTGTCCTGGGACGCCCTGAATTTCCTTTTCGTTGGCACAATATATTACCCGTATTTCAAAATATTAACAACCTTCAAAATTACGGCATTACTTGGAGAACGTTTATTAAACTGTTGTGTATATTGATCACATACGTATGGCAGACTTGAAAGAAATACTTTCTCCTCTGTACTTAACACCATTTTTAACAATTAGGCCTTAATAATTAATGGTTAAAGGATTACTTGACATGTCTATAC